CTTCCTCGGTTGGAGCTCACGGGGGGGACGTTTTTCGATGGTGCTTGTAGCTATTCTCAAGGAAATTACCCAGCGCAATTATCAGAAGGGCAAAGGAATCCATGTTTTAAAATTATAATTATTCTTACGGTAATTATTACCTCATCAAAATCTACAGATCTTGAGAGGTGTCACATAAAAAGGGACAAGCAGTAATTGCTTCCCACTATTTCATAGCGGTGTTACCACCAGTAGCGCCCACAGATGTTTGAAATGGTCGGTAGGACCCGAAACTCTACTACTTGGAATTGCGAAGCCACTCGGAAAGTTCTTTGTGTGCAACAATTGCCGCTGAAGCTGTGAGAGGAATGAGCAAAATGCCTCTCTCAGAGCCTGCTCCTTACCGTTTGAATGATTGCACATGGGTGCGTGGAGATGACTTGGTTGTGTTGAGTGTGCTTTTACTTAAAGTTTTTCCATCCCCAAATAGCACGTTACACATGTCGGGGAAATTATAAATGTGCTGCATCCGTTGCGTGGCTGCACATTAGCTAGATGGAGCGTGGCGTGATTGCTGGTGCTTGGGTGTAGGTGATAAAGGCGCAGGCAGAGAATACAAGCTGTCGGAGCTGTAAGGCAGAATTAATTTCTTTTAGGGATTTCCTAGTAACGTTATTCATAATTATATGGCTTAATCCTCTAATCTACTGTAGTGCCTTCAGTTCACATTGGGCCAAATCCACCAAGTCTTGAGATGATTTCTATTCCCGCCCACCTGACTGAATCATTTGGAGTTTTGCTTGTGTAAGCCACTGATTTAAGGGGAATGGCCCAATTACTTTAAATAGGAATTGAAAGCAACATCAGTCAGGATCGGGCCCAAGCTTTGCACAGTTCTCCAGTGAGAGCAGACAGGTTGATGGTTAATTTTTAGTTCAGAAAGAAATGGTATTTCCAGCTTCTTGTTCCACTGAAGAGAGGCAGCATAAAATACGAGATGCAAGTGCGGTTGATATGCCTGTGGTATCTTTCTGATAGACTGTGGGAGACCACAGGGGAAAAGGAGCCTTGGTTATCATACTGAAGCTGCTGATTTGTTGTTTATTAAATATTAACTAGGCTTTTGAGTGCCTGCTGCAGTTTGAAGAGCCAGCACAGGAAAATGACTAGGTATTTAAAGCAGTGTCGGTTCTTGCTAAATAGTTGCAGTGACATTAGAAATAGTCTCTGTTTCTCAAAGCATTTTAAAAGCTGGAATGGGGCACACTGAAGTTGTCACACATGATCCTTCACTGGCATAAATCGAAGCCTGTGGAGCTACAGTGATCTATACTTGTTGAGCCTCGGGTATTCAGGCTGGAATAAACAGCTTTAATAGAGCAGTGGAGCTACGGTGATTTATGGGAGTGCCTATACTTGCTAGATGTGGTTTCTGTCCTCACCCTGTTGATGTTTGTGGCAGAGCTTTCACTGACTGTAATGGGGTCAAGATTTGTCTTACTGGACATAGTTTGGCCTTTCCCTTGAGCAAGTTTCAGTCCCTACTTGACCTACCTTCATATTAGTAGGTTTTTGCTGATCTGAATAGATCTAATGCCTTTCAAATGAGAAAGAGCATACTCCTTTCTTGGCAGGGACAGCAGACGTTATCTTTCCTGATAGATAAGTTCACACAATTTACAATGTGCTGCTTTTCTTCTGAATGAAAACCTTAGAAGAAATAACAAGTTCTCCTGTTTTTCTTCTAAAACAGTCTTTGCTTTTATGTTTGTGTGTGTTTTTTTTTTTTTTTTTTTCTCCCCAGAAAGGCTGCTCCCTGTATTTTTATATGTGTTTGTGTCTGGAGTTTGTAGGTTGCAGCCCTTGCGCTGGAAGAGTTGCTGTAGGCTGGGAATCAATAGGTAGTTAAGTTCTCTCCTGTTGACCAGTTGGTCCGTCAGCATGCACAGCGTCGGTTGTGGTCATTCAGTGCCGGAGCATCTAGGGTGGGTGAAGTCGGAGGCAATACTAAAAGCCTGATGATGTTGCTGATTATCTGGGAAGTTTTTACTTTTGGAGAATTCATCTGGGTCCATATTCTCTAATTTTCTACAAAAAGGTACTTATGCCCACATCCTTATGTGTATGTACACACTTGGATATGTCAGCACTCTTGGAGCTTCAGTTCTGCCAGATGCCTCTAGATCTTAGTTTTCCTTGTAGTGTAAGGTTGCTAGAGACCTCCTAAAGCTGTCTTTTCAATATTTTTTACTACGTTGCCCCTTGTGCAGTAATATCCTCTGCATTAGCACAACACGTTATTCCACCAAGTTTTAATTCTTGAGTAAAGGAAAGCAGAAAGTGCTGTGGTGCAGATGATTTATGAGTAGAATACGTAACTTCTTGTTCGTTCTGTACACCTCAGTAATTTCTTAGAGCCTTTCAAAGAATCAAACTAGAATATTTGCTGCTTAACTGATCCAGAAGCACCGTCCTGGAATAATAAATGAATCAATTTAGACCTGAACGTGAAGTCCACTCAGTGTAAATCAGTCTGGATGTGCCTTACAGGTAACGTCCTTGCTCCACGGACGTCGGTTGGACTTTTACCGTTGACTTCAGCTGTGTCAAGATTTCATTCCTGGAGCCTGTTCCCATTACTAATGATGTTAGTGAAAAATTTCATTAGGAAAGTGCTTGAATCCCACATGAGATATTTGACCTGTGTCTCAGGCACAGATCTCATGCCACAGTTATTGCTGTGTTGAGAGAGACACCGTGGTCAGGCTGGCCTCTTCCCATCCTTAGAAAAAGGAGATATGTTTAGTGAACTTGGCGTGCCATAACCACCCGCTTGCCCTGAACATTTGAGCACAGCAACTTCAAACTGCTTGAGTGTGTGTCTCTTCTGTCGATCCTATCAGGTCCCTACTAGTTCAAGGAGTGCCCAAAATCCCTACTAGTTCAAGGAGTGCCCAGTCTTTTCCTGGGAATAAGCCATTTCTAAATTTTAGGTTTAGATTTGTGCTTCTCCAGTAGATGCTCTGCAGATGAGAAGGTGCTACGGCTGGTTCAGGTGAATGAATGGCTGCTATTTGTAGGTAGGCTTTGGCACGCTGTCCAGGCACCGGCTGTGCTGAACTGCGGAGGTGCGCTTCCGAAGCCATATCAAACAGTTTTGTGAGTCACCCAGGGCTCTAGGATTGCAGGATGGCATCCTTTGCCCTGCTACCATGTCTCCTCCAGGGTAATTTTGTCCAGTTGGGAAAATAGATTCCGTTTAGCTGTGGGGTCTGATCTGTTAGTCGCAGCTACGTATGAAATGCGAGAGGAATTTTCAGTCCTCACGTCTCCCTGGAAATGGTGTGGCCAATAGATGAATGCTGCAAATCTCTTTCATCTTTTTGCATAGGTGGTTATGCTTTTATTTATTTATTACTCTTCAGCCTTATGAAGATACTGGATTAATATATCAGTTTTAGAATGTTTTAACTTGTGTGTAGTAAAATCTGTGGAAAGTAAATAGTTTAATTGACAGAATTGGAAAAGAATATCTTCTCTTTCCTGCAGCAGAGTTACTGTCTGATAAGTAATTACTGTATACTGTGTGTGTGTGTGAAGGTACTAGAAATGTCTGCACTAGATATTCTTCTCCATTCTTTTCATTACCTGATTGGAAATAAAAATTGATCTAACTCTCTCTCTCTCTCTCTCTCTCTCTCTCTCTCTCTCTCTCTCTGGGCCTCCAACAGCTGTAGGTTTTGGAATGGATCCTGACTTACAAATTGATATCATCACAGAACTGGATCTTGTGAATACGACCCTTGGGGTAACACAAGTGTCAGGACTACACAATGCCAGCAAAGCATTCTTATTCCAAGGTAAGACAAACATCTTCAATTCTCTTATCTCACTTCTGTCGGCACGAGCTCATAAGAGCTTTGATGCCTAACTGATTCCCTGCAATGGTGGTCTTGCTTAACTGTCGCTTTCTTTTATTTTTATTTTTTTGGAAATAGTCCTTGTTACTTTCCTGAAATACATATGGCATTTTTTTTTTTTTTTTTTAGTGTGCTGTCAGGTTAGAGATCTTTAGGGAAGTATTTTTGGGTAGATTTTCAACACTCCCCAATATTTATTTCTAACTAAGTATGTTGAAGTGGTTCCAAGGCATGGTCTCGGTTGTGTTCTTGTGTACTTTTCTCTCTGGGACTGTACACACGCAGAGACACGCACAGCTGAAGCTATGTAACTACAAGAAAGCATTTAACATGTTGACACTGATTAGTGACATGTAGCAAGTCTTTCATCAACTTTGTGGAAACTGTTAAAGTGAGAAAATTGAACACTATTGCATTTAACTGTCCAAGCTGAGTACCAGGTACAGAATAAGTCACTTGGAATTGTGATTTTTTTTCATTCAATATTTTAAGATAATACTTGTGAAGTGTTTCAAAATGGTGTTGTTTTTTTTTTTCTTTTTTGTATCTTTAGTGAGTGAAATTCTGGATGAATTAACAAGTTTTACCATGGGCTTAAGTAAGGTCGAGATTAAGAGACAACGTCCCATGGGGTGGAAGCACTGAGTTGCTACAATATACTTATTAGGCGAGAAAGACATTTATATCAGTTGAGGTTAACGTTCACGTTAAAGCACAGTTGGGAACATTTTTATTGTGGAGACTTACTGTGTTTGTTTTTTCTGTACCGTGCTTTACTCTGTGTTGAAGTGTGCATGTTAGTGTCTCACTTTTTGATGTCTGTCCTCTGTAGCTGGTTTTAGAGGCAAATGATTATGATCTCATTTAGCTTTAGTTCTGGATCTGCAATGCTAACTGACTTTATTTTAAGTAATAAAAGAAGCAGGTCTATAATCTTAGTTCATTCTTTATCCAGTCAAGTCCAGTTTAGAAGCCAGAGCAGAGAGACTTCTGGGGACCTTCTCAGGATTTGTTAGTCATATTTCCAATCTTTTATGGTACAATGAGTAGGATAATTTTCACTGATTCCCAGATTAATGTCCAGAAGAAAAGCATTAATTTATTAATTTGAAGATATCAATTATTTTTCTTCCAATACCCTGACTTCAGGTTTGTGTATTATGGACAAACGATATTAAAGAACAGTCGTTCCTCGAAGGACTGCGATGGCCTAACTGACTTAAAATATTTTAGTATTTCCAGTTGCTATTCCATACATCTAATTGCAACCGCACTGACGAACAGTCATGGTGAGTTTTCACAGACTGGTGGTCAGAGCTGCAGGGAAGAAGACCGAGATGTGTTTTTCAGGATACCGATTGAAACCATTGATACTGAAAGTAACTTTGAAAGGGTAGTGGTGGAGATGTTATGGATACTCAGTTCTTTTTGCCTTGGAGGACACCACCTGTAGTTTACAAACTTAGAGAAGAATAGTGTAAAAAAGGTAGAGCTTGTAAAATTCACATGAGCAGATAAATTGGAAGATAGATGTTCATGGGAAGCAATGAACAGAAATTCACTCTACGAAGTGAATAAACAATTTCAAGTCTGTAGTTAGGTAAATAAAGCTTTTTTTAATTCCCACAACACGAATTCTTCTCGCTAACAGACACAGGAATAGCCCTGTGCTTGGATATTGCCTCTAGTATAAAATTTCTTGGAAGATGGCTTGGGAAAATTATTCTTTTCAGTTAAGCTTATCAGCCCTCGGGCTGGGAGAAGACTGAAGACCTTTGGTCTATTGCTCCATCCTGAGAGAGGTCTGGGAGGGGTCTTTCGCTGCTGCTGTCAGACAGGATGGAGGGCTGAGGCTGCCCCGTTGGCTGCTTCCCTTCTTGGTTGTATTTGTTATTTGTTAAATGTCAGCAGTATGTCGGCAGCTGTGTGAATTCCCTTTTACTAACAGAGGTGACTTACTTTACAACCACAGTTTGCTGTGTGTGAGGCCCTTTGGCTGGAACCAGGAGATACTTAATTTAGATTTTTATCTTGCCATACAGTAAAACTGATATAGAACTCAAGGCAATGTATGGGCAATTGCTGTGTCTAAGTTAGAATACTTTTTCCCACAGAGATTCACAAAAAACCCAGCCAACATGATACTCCCAGAGGAGAGAAAAGACTGGAAGTTAGTGCTTAGTTTCAGAAGTACTGTACTTTCTTGGACCCGCTATTTCAGTCTCCGAGATGTGGTCCTTTCAGCAAAGCTTTGCTTTGATTAGTTCTTACCGTATGTGAGTGAGTAGTCAACACGTGCTGTGCCTCGCTGCTCCAGTGGTGCCTCTGGGGCTCTGGCCACGGGAGGACCTGCTTCACCTTGCAGGCTGATTGCTGAACGTGGAGCCACATTAGAAGACCTCGTCACTCGTAGGCTTTCACTGCTGAGGATTTCCTAGTTTAGGAAATGAGAAGAATTTGTGAGTATGTTCTTTGGCATGCAGTTTTCATAGGGACAGTTTTGCCTGCCGCCTTTGGCAGTGTCCTTACAGCAATGTGACAGGGCTCTGAGCTTACACAAAGGCTCCCCATGGATCATTTTCTGTCTTGTAAGATGTATTTCCTAAAATGGCTTTACTAGAACTGTTCAAACTGAGTGTGTTCCTTTGTGTGTCCCTGGAAGCCTACATCTTTGAGGTAGAGAAATGGTAATTTTTCCCCAACTCGGACAGTTATGTATACTGCTGTAGTGAAAATATGGATTGTTTTCCTAAGCAAGATTCTTTTTCTGTGAATTAAACTCTGGAATGGAAAGCTTTATAAGTTTTGGGCATTCTTTCAGTTGCATTTAGAGGCAAAAAGAAGAAATGAAGAACGGGGGTGATGGGAAGATATCCACAGAAGAAAAAGAAACTATTATTTTTAATTAGATTTTTGATCAGTGATGATAGCTCTTGTACAGTAAGTGACGTGCTGTTTGTTACAAAGTTTCTGGGGAGTGATGTCATGAGTTGAATTACCCTAGAGAAAATATAGAAGGACTCTTTTCCCGGGAGCATTAGCGATTTCAGTCCAAGACAATCTTAGTGAAGCCAGTGGAGTATTCTGATTTTATAATTATATTGGTAGTAACAGCTGAAACTCGGATTTCCGTGTGAAGCAGCTTTACAGGCAAAGAAACAAATTGAGCTCCGTTGCAAATTGTGTGACAGCATGATAGAACCAAAGTGGCAATTGAGAGATGTGGGCTGCCTTTGGGCAAGCAAATCTGTTCCTAATTCAGAAAAGCATAGAAACCTATAATTAAGTGTAGTCATCTGAGTGGCCCTGTTGGGCATGGACTTCGATTATTAGAGTACTTCAGCTGGATTTTTGATTGATCGGTTCCATGATTTGTGTGTTTCAGTTCCATTCTCTGTGAAAGGGGGATGAGGGAATCCAAAAAGCAGTGTAAGTGCTGACAGTGTGAATTAGATGAAATGTAGATATCTAACTTGTAATTGCAGTTCTGCAGTCTGACTCTTAAGATCACCTAACATTATAGTGTCTTAATTATCTATCTTGTATTTATTTATATGAACAAGAGCAGGGAAAAAAGTCTTTGTGTCCAGATGGGTTGTTCTAGCAGGAAGGGACAAAGGAGGGCGAGTGGAGATTTTTGACTGGAGTGCTCTTGGGGAATGGGGCACCCAAGATCCTGGTGTCTGACTCCACATCTCCTCACCTCCAACCAGGAGTCCAAAGAATTCAGGGAGATAGTTCTGGGGGTGGGTGGGAAACCTCAAAGAAATGTATTGGAAATATTAATCGTCCACCTAATGCATTACAATAACATCTTACAAACACTCAGTGAAAGACATCTGTAAATAGTGTCTTACAAACAGGGCAAAATGATGCTGAAATTCCTAGAATAGGATTATAGTATAAAATTTGGTACATTAAGAAACACTGAGCCAGGGCTCAGTCCTGTTCTATGTTTCAGATAGCAGGGAAGCAGGGCTTGTTTTGACCCTGTAGGTGGAAACCTCAGCAGAATCTTGAGTTCAGTGGCAGAGAGAGGCACTGATCATAAATAAGGCAAGAGGAGGTGCTTAATCGGTCATCCTGTTTCTAGGTAGACCGAGCCCAATTTTTAGCCTAGCTGTTACATTATGCGATTACCTTAACCAGTCTGACTTTTGTTCGGTGCTCAGTTCTCCTTGAGGAAGTAAAATTTTATTCCTTTTACAACCTGTCAGCTATGCCCATTTCTTGTTAATTCTTCTTCTCTCAACATTTCTTTTGAACTTAGAGGCTTAAAACTTAGAGGCTTAAAGCCTTTACTTATAAAGCAGTTCCCCCAAGAAGTTTATTAAGGCTTTGCTGTTTCCTTTCCTAGCAATCTGGCAGTATTTTTCAACTTAGCCGTTAAATTAGGAATGGTCTTTTTACTATGTATACGATGTATAGCACTCAGTAAAATGAACCACTGAGTACTGTTAGAAGTCTAGCTACATGTAGTCCTTTCTTCCTTGACCGTTTCTTTACTTGTACTAAACAACCACTGGATTTATAAGAGAAACACCTGGCCCGCAGCTCCTGCAGCACAGAGTTCAGTCATGCTCCTTCTTCCTACTTTGTACCAGTGACTGCTGAGCTCTTTTCTGTACAGTCGTGGCTCCAACAGGAAAGGTGAAAGAATAACAAGTATCGTAAAGCACAGAGAAAGGCAATGTTTTTGTGAGAAACTTGTTGAGTTTCTGAAACAAAAGGGCCGTCCTGCTTTAGGCCAAAAGAGAGAGCAAAGCTGCAGTCCCAAGGGCGGGTACAGGTGCCTTCCAGCAGACTCGTTTGAGCTTCCAGATGTGGTACAACCCTCTCTGTCAGTGTTTCCTCTCCATGTGTTATGGATCCTGATGTCTTTTTTTTTTTTTTTTTGACACCTTCCTCCTTGACTTGCTAATTACTCACTTAGAGAATAG